TCCCTCCAGGGTTGGGGACTCCAGCGCTGCCTCTGTCTCCCCTGAGCCTCCTTTGCTCCAGGCTCAGCACCCCCAGCTCCCTCAGCTGCTCCTCACCAGACTCAGGCTTTAGACCCTTCTCCAGCTTCTCTGCCATTCTCTGGACACATTCCAGCCCCTCAAGGTCCCACTCCAAGTGAGGGGCCCAGAACTGAACCAGGGATTCAAGGGGCAGCCTCTATAATGCCCAGTCCAGGGATACAAGCCCTGCCCTGCTCCTGCTGGCCACACTAGTGCTGATCCAAGCCAGGATGCTGGTGGCCTTCTTGGCCACCTGGGCATATGCTGGCTCATCTCCAGCCATCTGTCAAGCAACACTCCCAGGTCCTCTCCTCCACTCCCCTCCTGCCAGGCCTGGCACAGGGTGAGCTGAGCCAGCTCCATCTGCAGGAGCAGGAGCTCCCTGCCAGCCAGCTCCCAGGAGCCTCACCAGGGAAACAGCCCTCAGCGTGCCTGGGTGCTGGTCAGGGCAACCAGCCAAACCCACAGAGGTCTGTTATATTGCTTCCACACCCCATGTTCTGGGTTATCTTCTCCCTGTTCAGCTCTGAGAGCATCCCTGCTCCTGCAAAGGGGGCTGGAAGTCACCCAGCTTGGGTACAAATTCCTCTGTGGCAGCAGGTTTGTGCCAGTGCCTGCCAAAGCCAGGTCCCCTGGTGGCCCTCAGCCAGGGGAGAGCTCTGTCCATGGCAGGATGGGTGGGAAGGGTCTTCCTGAGCAGAGCCACTGCCTCTTGGTCATTCTCATGCACTTGGCTTTGGGTAGAAGAGGACAGCAACCTTTTGGGAAGCCCAGACAAAGCTCCACGGGTGATACAGACCTTCAGTGCAAGGGGGAGGGCTCCCAGTGCAAGGGGAAAGGCTCCCCAGAACAACCAGGGCCCACCAAGGTGAGACAGATCATCCTGCTCCAGGCAGAGGCCCCATGTCACCAAAATCAAGCAGCTCTGGCCACGACACATCTCCTCCTCCTGCCCCAGCACCTTCCCTCCCCCCTCACCAGCTCGTGCTGCTCCTGCATCTGCGTGATCTTCTTGCCATACTTCTGGTCCACTTGTTTCAGCTCAGCCACCACAGCCTCACACTTCTCACTCAGCACCTTCTTATCATCAATGAGCTGGGCAGGGTGAAGAAGAGGCATCAGGCAGCCAGGCAGGGTAGAGCTGCCTCAGTTTCTGGCTTTAGAAGCATCAGTCTGGGTTGGGAGGAGAGTTTACCTGGTCAATGAAGGCCAGATGCCTCTGGATAGCTGCCTCATACTGCTCCCTCTGCAGCCTGAGCTGGTGGCCAAGCTCCTTCTCGGTCTGTTTGACGTGCTGGGCAGTCAGTTCCCTCTGCTGAGCCTTTGGAAACAGCCACAAGATGGGAGAGGGAGAGGTTATGGCAGACCCAGAATGTGTACAGGAGATACGTACTGAACCTGGAGTCACTGTGGGCCAGAGCAAGGGGGAACAGAGATAATCAAAGTCCCTGGGACTCACAGGGACTCACCTCCTGCCCTGCTGTCAGCAAGAAGGAATAAGTGATAGAACAAGAGGAAACAGCCTCAAGTTGCCCCAGGGGAGGTTGAGGTTGGAGCTGAGGAACAATTTCTTGCCCTGGAGGGTTGCCCAGGGCTGTGCCAGGCTGCCCAGGGCAGTGGTGGAGTCCCCACCCCTGGAGGGGTTCCCAAGCTGTGGAGATGTGGGGTGAGGGACACGGGGCAGTGGGGACCTGGCAGTGCTGGGGGAAGGGTTGGACTCCATGATCTTAAAAGGTCTCTTCCAACCAAAACCATTCTCTGATTCTAAGAACACTCAAACCCCTGAAGGACAGAGGAAAAGAGCTGAGCTCAGGCCCTAAGGGCTTCTGGACTATTTAGGTACCTGCCAGGGTGAGGAGTCCAAAGCAGGATTTCAAAGCAGGGGGGCAGTGATGAAAAACCCTCCAAGGGAGAGAGGAAACCCCCTTTGAGGAGCAAAGCCCACACCAGACTGGGAAGGACCTGGCAGGAACCTCCAGCCCTTCTCTGCCTTGGGAAGCCCTGTTTGCAGAGCCCTGAGGCTTGTGCTTCCAAACCACGGCCCCAGGGCACCTGCTGAGGGCTCCTGATGCTCAGCCCCCAGCGAGCAGGCAGCTCTGGCTCACCAGGGCTGTCTGCAGCAGGCTGATGGCTCGTTTCTTCTCCTCCACTTCCAGCTTCAGCCTCATGATGGAGCTGGTGACCTCCGTGGCAACAGCCGATGCCTGCTCCAAGTGAGCCAGTTCCTCTTCCAAGAGGAGACCCTGCCAGGGTGGGGAAAAAAAACCCCAACGATTAAAAGGTGGTGGGGACCTCCTGGAACCAGGAGAAGGAGACAGAAGGCCCTTCCCAGCAGGGTCTCATCCCACCTCTCCCATACAGAGGGGCTCAGCTCTCACCTCCCGCTGCGTGGCGGACGCGGCCGACCTGGGCCTCTCCTGCTCAGACTTCTCCATCTCATCCAGGAAGCTGATGATGCTTTGGAGCTTGGCCTCTGAGAGCAGGGCCCCGTCCTCAGGGAGCCCTGGGGAGTGGTTCAGCTTCCCAAACTTCTCCAAGTTATCAGCAGTCAGGGAATTGGAGCTGGGCTCCTGCTGGGCAGACACAGCCGGCAATGGGCAGCCAGGGGAAGGTTTGGGAGAAGGGGTGATGGCTCCTCTCCATCCCTGGAGCCCAGTCCTCCCACTGCTCCCCAGTAACCAGCCTTATCCTCTGTGCTAACCCCACTCCCACCACAGCCTTCGCATGGTTTTCATCCTTCCAGAGGGTGCCCAAGCCCTGGTTGCACCAAACTCCTCTGCTGCCTCCAGAGTCTACCCTGAAAGGGTTTTCAAAGCCTGTGCCAGGCTGCCCAGGGCAGTGGTGGAGTCCCCACCCCTGGAGGGGTTTCCAAGCTGTGGAGATGTGGTGTGAGGGACACGGGGCAGTGGGGACCTGGCAGTGCTGAGGGAATGGCTGCACTAGATCTGAAAGGTCTATTCCAACCTAAATGATTCCATGATTCTACAACTCCACTGTCTTCAGAGTCCTCCACTGCCTCCAAACCCCTCCACTGTCTTCTCTGGCCATGAACCACCCACGTTTCTCACCCTCCAACACCCAGAGAGCACTGGGAGAAGGCAGCAGCCCACAGGGGAACCTGCTCTCAGCAGGCAGCCGTCGCTGTCTGAGGGTGGACGTGACCAGCCCCAGTCGTCTGCTTACCCCTTCTGCCCAGGCATATCTGTCCTTCTTGAAGAGCTTTGGTGGGGGCAGCAGCTCTGGCTCTTCCTCCAACAGCCTGAGGGTGTCCAGCAGCTCGTTGAGTGTAACCTTGGACTGAGCCCTGCTGGCAGCAGTCACCACCGACTCCAGCTCCTCGCCGCCCGTCTCTCTGGAGCTCAGGTCCTAGGGGAGAAGACAACATTCTTTGCAATAAAACACTTTGCCAGGTCTCTCCAGAAACCAACCAAGGCTCCAAAAGCCGAGCAGCTGGTGCCAGGAGCCCCACAAGACAAAGCCAGACCCACCTGCAGCTTGTCCTCTGCCCCGGGGTCCTGTGAGGGCACGGAGCCGAGCTCTGCGAGGCCGCTTCCCTCTGGCTCTGCAGCTCCCGGGTGGAAATTGGCCTCTGCAGGAACCAGACTGTCCTCAGGTGCTTGCCACAAGCAGCAGCTGCCCCGGCCTCCTCCTCCCCCAGGTCACACACTGCTCCAGAAGGGTCAGGGACCTGCTGGAGGGACTCACCAGCATTGTTGGCTTTGGTGACGCTGCCGGCGGGGCTGGCGCTGCCTGCAGCAGGTTTGGCAGCCTTCTTCTTCACCCCCCTTCTGCTCTCCTTCACCAGCACAAGCTCTTCTTCTGCCAAACACTTTGCATCCAAAGCCTTTTGGGCCCTTTTCTGGTGCAGCTCCTGTAGGACCAGCCCAGCCCTCAGTATCCTGCCCAGCACAGGGTGTGTTCTGACACAGACCTGAGCTGCTCCAAACGCCAGCAAGGGGCTGGGAGCCAGCAACGAGCCACACACTGGCTGCTAAAGGGTTAACAGAAATCAAAGAATTACAGACTCACAGCCTGGTTTGAGTGGGAAGGGACTTTTAAAGGTCACCTCATCCAACCCCCCTGCAGGGAGCAGGGACATCTGCAGCTAGAGCAGGGTGCTCAGAGCCCAAACCAACCTCCCCTGGGATGGTTCCAGGGATGGGGCAGCGACCACCTCTCTGGGCAGCCTGGGCCAGGGGCTCAGCACCCTCAGCATCCAAAATTTCTCCCTTCTACCCAGCCTCAAGTCTCCCCTCTTTTAGTTTAAGCCCATCACCCCTTGTCTTGTCCAACAGGCCCTGCTAAATGTCTGTCCCCAGCTTTCTGACAGACCCCTTGAAGCACTGAAAGGCCACTAGAAGGTCTCCCCGGAGCCCTCCCCTATCCAGGCTGAACAACTCCAACTCTCTTAGCCTGGCCCCACAGCAGAGGGGCTCCATGTGGTCTCCCCCCTTGGACCATTTCTGTGGCCTCCTCTGGATCCCCTCCAAGAGGTCCCTGTCTCTGCTGTGCTGAGAACAGGGACAGCTCCAGAGCAGAGGGGAGGTGCTGGCCAGGCCCTCTCCAGCTCCCCACGTGAGCCAGGGCTGCTCACACGCCCGCGCCGTGTCCTTTGCTGCTCCATAAGGAGCCTCCAAATCCCAGGGGGTTGCTTTGCCCGAGCTCTGGAAGTCCCTCAAGGCACAAGCACATGTCTGCAAGGCTGCTGCAGCAGTTTGCCGTCCTCCAGCTGCTCCTCCCCTGACGAAACACGATTCCATTTAGGGCAAAGAGAAATAGAGGGTTTGAAGAACTCTCCAGCTGGCCTGCAAGCCGAGGCACAGCTCCCCACGGCCTGTGCCAGCCCCTCATCTGTGCCCCAGCAGGGCTGGCCCTTTCTGGCTGTGAGAGCAGGGTGGTGACAGGCACGGCGGTGCCGTGGGACGCTCCTGGGCACGGCCCCTTTCCCAGGGCACTCTCGTCCTCGGCCGCTCCGAGGAGCTGCAGTTACAGCCTTGCTGTTTGAACGTGGTCACCCTTTTCCCAAAAAATTAGATGGAAACCAGAGGCTTGTCTTCGCAAGGTCTGGATGAGCTGCCAAGGCTTGGCAGGAGCACAACAAGAACTGGCTCCGTGGCACCTCGGTCTCCGGAGGGAGCGCTCCGTCTGCAAGCCTGGCTCTGACTCTGCTCTGTGCAAAGCCCTGGAGATGCTGAGCAGGGGCCCTCAGGGCTGCCTCGTGAGAAGATGCCACCAACCTGGCCTCACCCAGGCCACAACACCCTCGTCTTGTCCCTACCTGGATGGCAGCACGTCGGGCCAGACGTGCCTTCTCCTCCCGGATCTTCCGGCGCTCCTCGTCCTTCCTCTCCCGCATATCCAGGATGTTCCCTTCCTCCATCTGCTGCTGCCTCTCCTTCCACAGGGGAGGGTCCCAAATGTTACTGAGAGCTCCGCAGCACCCACCTCCAGGCCACAACACCCTCGTCTTGTCCCTACCTGGATGGCAGCACGTCGGGCCAGACGTGCCTTCTCCTCCCGGATCTTCCGGCGCTCCTCGTCCTTCCTCTCCCGCATATCCAGGATGTTCCCTTCCTCCATCTGCTGCTGCCTCTCCTTCCACAGGGGAGGGTCCCAAATGTTACTGAGAGCTCCGCAGCACCCACCTCCCGCAGCAGAGGAGTGGGGAAGTGCATGTTGCACCCGAGGTCACCCCAACTCCAGGCTTTCTGTCCCCCCAGTCCTCCCCGCCAGGCAGGTAAAGAGCCCTCAGAAAAGCTCCACTTTAGAGCAGCTTATTTTCTTTAGATATTCCATGCAATTATTAGTCATCTGGGTCTGAAACCACCGAGGAGACGAGGTTTAAAAATAGACCCTCACATGCTAGAGCTACAGTCCTTTTTGTTAGGGGGATAAATAATGAAACCCAAAGAAACACAAATAGCTGCA